TATGCAGTAAAGCGGATTTGTCTCATAGGCCGCAGCATCTGTTGCAGTAGAACTGCTGCCAATTGAGCATGTTGATGATTTAGTAGCAGCAGGGCTCCGTGTCACTATATAAGGAAGGCTGAGGTAGTGCTCACACAGCATTGGAGTAATGTTACATTTAGTTTTTATTATCAGCATTGTTTGTTCAAATAAATTGAAGTCAAATTCAGTGAACAACCAGTAACAATATACAGATGGAAAACGAGGTAAGGTCACAGGGCATTTGAGCTGCGTGATAATCACATGATAATAACACTGTCAGTAAGCATTTCTCACTTTTAAGTGAGGAATTCATTCCCTAAATGGATTTAAATGTATGCTCCAAAATCAGATTATCACTCTCAGCACATTTCATCATTGCACAAACAGGCTCACTGTGAGATTAATCAATTATTGATCTGTTCAACAATTGAAAGCTATGAATAGTATAATGAAAACTGGATGTAGATTTCCAATGTACATCCCTGATTTATGATCATATTAAATCACGCTATTTTTATAGCACTCTAATGTCTTGTGCAGCATACACTAAAATTGGTATGTGACTCATTTTAACACAATGCAGCACAACCATGTCTAGATGGTGACACAGTTTTGGGCTGCCATCTGTTAAACAAGATAATTTTATCCAGATAGATGGCTGATTGCTTTCTGTTGTTATCATCAACATATACTTCTAAACAGCCTCAGAGAAATCTCTTCTATACTGATACTTTCCTGCTTTAGATTAGCCAATTTGGTCACATACAAGGTATGAGTCACAAAGCCCGAACATCTGTTTATCTCTACATACCAAAACAGGGGTATATTATTATCAGCACAGCTGTATGAAATAAAACTCTCACTGAAGTATTCTTACATGCACACACACACACACACACACAGGCTCAGAGGAGAAGTGGGCTAAAAGTAGAGACAGATTTTTATCTAGGCGAATACTGATTGAAGAATTATATTCCTTTAATCCTGTAAAATGAATTGTTTCTGGCTAATAGTGCCATAATGTGCCTAATCTTAATGTATTCAATTATGTCGCCCACAGGGAGCCCCTTCTACTCTTCTGTAACAAAACTGCTTTTCCATTAGGCACTGTGTGACATTCAGTTGTACTCTCACTGCAAATGTAGTCTTCAAATTCTGTTTGTTATTTTTATTTTCATTCTTATTAAAAGTTATCGGTACATATTATCAGATTTAATTCGTGATGGGTTTCTTTTTATTTCTCATCATTATTTTTACCCCGATGAGCCATTAACACTGGCAATAAGGAGAAGAAACTCCATTCCAACAACCATCAGAGAAACATGTGGTGTGTTTTTAGTTGCAATGTTCAAAATAAAGTGGAGTCTAATAGACAGATGCCACGATACTGACAACATTTCCCACATACCAAGGCAGCAAATCTATAGCAATCAGTGAGACCAAATGAAATTGAAACATGCTGCAACCAGCAGTAGGGAAGGGCATGCATGCTGAGAGCCATCTCCACTCCAGATACACATCTCATCAGTAGGATTAGGAGACGTTAGATTGATTAGCATACCATTAAATCACACAAGCAGACTTTTGGCATTGGATAGGCCCCGCAGTATAGTGAAGTTTCATCTTGCTTTTATTGAAAATCACTTATTCCTCACTCCATGCAACAAAGCACCTACACATCTGGATCTCTTGTTTTTTTTTTTCTGTTTTGGTCCCCAGACGTGACTGGACGTGGATGTGGTCTTGGTGTAACTGTTCAAATGGTTTTCCTTTTGGTGTGTCACTAGATAATTTACCCTGTGTAGGCACTGGCCCAGTTTGTACATACGTAACATCTTTTTTGCTTTACGAGTTTAGCCCAGTTTGGTGTGTGTGTGTGTGTGTGTGTTTTGGGGGTAGTGGTCTCTCCTGTAGCTGTTGCTCCAGCTGAGTTGGCAGCTCTCATGCACCATGGGATCATCCTGGATAGATGCTGTTATTTATGCAGCGTGTCTAAACCAATCATCCTGACACAGATTTATATAAACACAGCAGTTTCTTGGCATAGAATGAGGTTCACACACACACAAGGAGGAAGCTAAAGGTATTATTTAGTTTGGCTCTCCCTCAGCGGGCACAGTGCATAAACCCAACATGCAAAATATGTTTGGGAAGCCTGAAAATGGGTTGCCAGCAGGTCAGAGAGGAAGGGGGATGACATGGTAAAATGGGGAAAAAGCAACTACTGTTTGTGTATCCAGTTGAGTATGTCTTTTATAGCACACTGTAGATTTTAAATATGTAACTAGTATATAAGTAATATAGTATTATCCAATATTATTTTGGAAAGACAGGCAGACCACCAAAACATTTCATTCACAAGAAATATAAAGGGTCAGACGAAAAAAAAAACACAAAAGACAGTCAATTTATATCAAACATTTTATTCATTGATTTTTTTGTATTGTTTTTATAAAATTCTTTTACAAAACTGTGATTTTTCCTCTATCTTTCCATTTTAATTTCTATAAAATTAGGTCTGCAGTTACAGAAGAAGGTAAAGGAAGCCAGTAGAGATTCAGTGGAGACAAAATCCTGTTTTATAAATACTGTTTATGGGAGAATTATGTGTGTGTTACATGTATTACTATACTTGTGATAACAAGGAAGAGGGGTCCTCTATTGTGCCCTCACAAGTATAGTAATACAAGGCAGTACGCGTAAAAAAAAGTTCCTACAACAGAAAAGGCAGGAATGTCAGAATCAGATGTGTGGTGATAAGTCTTAGTAGCACTCCAGTGTTAAACAATATCATTTAGGAAGCCATTATGTGTTACTGGATATTGATAAAGAAAAAACAACCTACTATGAAATGAAAACAGGGACTTGCTCCATGCACAAGGCAGATGGGAAAAAAAACTAAAGCGTATTTCTTCTGAAGGCACATCAATATATAACCCCCTGCCCTCTGAAACAACATCAGGAAAGAAAAAAGAAAAAGATAGAGAAACTGTCGTCTTGAATATTGCACCAAGTTCATTTCTGAAATGTGATTCTCTTTACGACCATATTCAGTTGTCTTGATAGCACTGTGTTTCAGTAATACCAGGATTGTTTATTTGCTGTCAAGCTCATATCACATTCTCAGAAATGTAAAATACCATGCAGAACCCTTCTCTGCTGATTTCTCAGTCTCTCACGCATACACCCTTTCCTTCCTGTCTCCCTCTCTTTCTCACACACTTAATCTTATACTGACAGGATGTACTTCTAATCAACCAAATAAATATGGGAATGCATGGCACTCCTCATATCAGATGAAAAATTATAAAAACAAAAATAGATTTGATCTATTGGCACACATTGGGGTGAAAGGTACAGAATGGAGAAGCTTAGCAAAATGATCATTTATCTTTCACAAAACTGAAGCTGGAGCTACCAAAGGAGGCATCAGGGCAGGTGTGATTAGATTCCTATATTAGTGTTGCTGGCTTTACAGGATACTTCATGGACAGGTAAACTTTGAGTTGATGATGCACAGTGATTTTAAAATCGCAGGTACACATTCTAGACTCATTAAATTAACATTTTCGGAGAACCTGATATGACATATCAAGGAAGAACTAAAATGAAGCGTGACTGTTGACTGACGTGAATGGACCCAAACACTTGTAGTGACTAGTCATTTGGCCTATTGATCCATCTGCAAAAACCCAATTTCATGTTCCACTGACACGTGGCAATCATACGGACGAGATCCATGTCTCAAATTGTGAAAAATAACATAAAAACGGATCAAGATGTTATTTGTGAAAAATGCTGAAATTATGGAACATACTTGAACATCCGGGTTTTACATTTAGCCTCAAAGCTGAATGGCTGTTTAAATCTGTGTTTATCAAAGTGACAATCTGCACATATACTGGAAATTGAAAGGATTCTAATTACCATTACCAATTATCATGTATTTATGTTGAAGAAATACCACAAATGAGAATAATTACTTAATAGAGCATATCTCCCCAAAGGTGTCAATTTCTCCCCTATAACTTTAAACAGCACCACAGATTTTTGCCCATCTGGTCACATTTGTTTATAACAAAAAATATATTTAATATGATGCCAACTCTGACTGCTTGACGCTACATGATGAAAGCAGTATTAGCCCACGTCAAGTACTTGTCAGCCAGGGCTACTGCCAAACCTGTCACTGGACAAAATGAAATTGGGTCTATGGCATAGAGACAATAAGCGTATAATAAATATCCCTCGCTAACCAAGCCAAAAAAGATCTATTCTCTAGTTTTCACAGTGGTTTGTGTTTCAAACAGACCATTGGTTGGCTCAGTTGGCAAGCTCAGCCTCCCTTAACCAAGGCAATTCTAATGATTATCTATTGTTCTTCAGGCCAGCACACATTCAAGTACCAATTCTAGCTTGTCATATAAGTCTTTACCAAAAAAAAAAGTAATGTAGAAGAATTTCTGTCTAAAATGAAAAAAGAGAATTTCATTGACTTTTGTCTGAATTTCTATTTAGTTCCTATGGATATCCATCCCCACATAGCAAATCTATTCAAATCTAGCTAGTAGTGTACGAAAACAAAAAGTTAAAAATGGCACAAAATAATTTTCCATTTCCATTATAATTAGTGAGGAAAAATGTGAATGCTGACCTGAAGATCCATATTCCAATCCAAAATCATAAAATAAAATCAAAAAAGCAGCAAGATCAAGGTGCTCATTTTGTCTTTTTCTCACTCCCAGATCCAAACGCCATTAGATAAACTTGAGGCACTGTGAATATCAGATCAACGATCATAACTCAGTTCTGTGGTCGAGGGGTTGTCATTCCTCTCTTCACCCACCCTGCTATTGGTTTATATTAAGACAATACAGAGAGTAGTGCTGGCCATTCATTCACTGTATAAAAAAAATAGCTAAACACAATCCCAAAATAGTGTTATCCTCTTCATAGTCACAATTATCATTAATATTTTGTCAGCAAAAACTTTCAGGAATCTGTGCAGAATGTACAGAGCGGAGCAGTCTTTTTCAGCGGGTTGGAGTTGGTGGTTTGCCACTGTTGGGACACTGAAGCAGCAAGCTATGATATTCAACAACTCCATGACTTTGACCACTTCAGTTCAAAGTTTTTAAGTCCTCAGGTGTCCTTCAGTTGGTTGTAGTCAAAGTGTATATAGTGGGACCTGTGTGCTCAGCTATCCCCCAATACACATAGGAGAAAGGGTAGAAAGGATAAATGGAGGAGGATACAACCGAAGAGACCAGTGAATGTGGTGTCCTCCACAGCTGTTCTAGTTTATTTTCCTTCTCTCCCCCTGTACCCGATCATGTTTGTTTCTCCACTGATCCATCCATGGAATCATGGAAAGGCTCTGAGTTTCTCCATGTGTCCGCCCCCTCGCTCTGTCTTTGTTCTGTTCATTGAGCGGGGGGCTCTGGAGGGTTATAGCCTCTCGATGTCCCTGTACTTCTTCCGCAGTATGGACACCTGGTCTTTGAACAGGACTGGGTCCAGCCTCATCTGAGAATGGACCAGGGGCATTGTGCCAAACCAGCTGGCAAACTTGTTCATGCAGGTCTGACGCTGGGCAAAATGGTCCGGGTCAGCCCAGCGAGAAGCCCGGGAGCTCTGGGGGTGAGACGTGGTGATAGGATGGGGAGAGAGGGGGAGAGATACAGACATGAAGAAAGAGAACGACAGAATGAATAATGCATCACAAATTACTGTGACCTTTCAGAACGTATTGTAATTATTCATAAGGTTTTTTGTTTTTTATTGAAGGCCATATTGCAAGAAAACCAATTTCAATTCACTTTAATTTCAATTCAATTTACAAAAGACTGATGTTCTATTTTAACAGCCACCGCTATTAGGGTTTAAGTGGTACGCTATGTCTACAGCCTACCAGCCTCTACAATAATCAGGAAGAACATGGGTCTCTGTCTGTTCAATACTGAGCATCATTAGGAACAACAAATGATTATGTGGGCATCTACAGCTCTGAGGCAGGTGTTTAAAAGAGGATTCTAGATATTGCTACTGTCAGGAGTGTTTTCTCCTGAGCTTATGATATGAGTAGCTACTTCACGAGTCTAGGTTGTTGATGTAGTTGGAAGCCTTGTGTGTGTGTGATTGTATTTTGCTCCTGTGTGTGTAAAGAAAAAAAAAAAACGTATTTAGGATAAATTAAGTTAATCTTCTTCTTAATTTGCAACTGGTTTTACTGCAGACATAGTGCTACCTTTTACAAGTAGAGACATTCTTACTACTTTGTTTTTTTTACTGTGCATATGGAAGACAACTTAAAATATCAAGACCTCTTTGCTATCATGCATTATTCATTATATTGCTCTGGAATAGGGCCACCTATGCAGCCTCAATGATAATATATGGCGTTTTTCCATACACATGTGCTGGCCTGGCTGGACTCTGACTTGGCGCACCATCACAGCATAGCAGGGATTTGTATTTCCACAACAGGGCTACCTGCTTCAAGTTGTGTATTTACAGGCAGAGAGATCCACAATGGTCGAGAGAGCTCAAGATTGAATGAAAAGGGGGCCGCTAACTAAGCTCCGCTCCGGGGATAAAACACATTTCACTTCCTATAAATTCTTCACAATAAAAGTCTGCGGTTATTTTGGTTTTCATCAGCAGTAACTTAACAAGACTCATATACGGCTGAGAGGGAACAGAGAAACAAAACTTAAAACCAAGGAGATTCAGTCAGAAGCTACAAAAGTACTGAGAGCTGAACGCTCAAACACTGAGACTTTTAAAAATGTTTGTCTCTCTGCTCTCCCGTACAGACAGGAGTTGAGTCTTGCATGTATTTAGAGGGAATAATGGGGGATCGTAGTGGGTTGGCCGTGCTTTGGCACTACCCCAGACAAGGTCCATCTCGGCAGTTTGGCATAACTGGCCACATTAAAAGTGGTAATGGAAATGCAAATCAGCACGGCATGGTTCGAATCGGCATGGCCAGGATAAATATTCTGCCTCACCTGTCCCATCATGGTCTCCTTGTATTGTTTCTTCTGGGTGACCTTGATAGGTGGTAGTTTAGAGACGGAGGACACCAGAAAATTCATCAGAATGTCCTCACAGTTTGACAACTGGTCAACCATGGTCTTCAGACTGGCTGGAAGGTAGGTGGTGTACAAGTAGTGGTAGTATCTAAGGGAGAACATGAGAGTGAACGTGTTAGTACTGAACTAAATGAATTGACAGACTGTCATTGGAGAGGAGTGAAATATAGTAGAAGCAGACAGCAGTTGCGTCAGTACTTGTGATAGATGGCAGCCCCAGTCAGCACCATGGAGTAGTCGTTGGTCCATTTGGAAGTGTAGCCCCACCTCTCTTTGTTGCTATCCCAGAAGTGACTACGGGCTGGGTAACCAACAATGCGGTCTGGGAAACTCTGCCACACTGTGAAGGCAAAGTCCACCTGAACAATGTAGAGACCAGAGAGAAACAAAGAGACAGAAAGAAGGAAAGAAGACATGAGGCCAAGAAACCAGGAAGAGATCATTGCAGGGAACTCTATTGAAAAGATACATAGACACATAATAGTGATTATATAATTATCAAATGTCTGCTGTTGTTTTTTGGAAGTCTGACCTCTGTAGTGGAGAGCACGGTGTCCTCATCAAGACTGAGCACAGCATCAGTGGGGATGGTGTCGTAGGGCAAAAAACGACTGCTTATCACCTGGCATTTGCAAAACAGACACATACGTAAAATGTTGACAGGTTGCTAAAAGGGTGTAAATACTGCAAAAATCAGTGTATAAACAGGGCCCGTATACGCACAATCAAGGTAGATCTGCATGACAAGCAGGAGTACAAGCTTCTTCATGTTTGTCTGTGCTACAGAGTTGTTTCATCTTCCTGCGTTAAGCAGAGTCAGCCAAATATACAGGCCGACATAACACCAATGACAGCAGAAATACAGCATTTCACTGATGAGCTAAAATCACAGATAGAAATCCACAAGCAGTGGAGCGTGCTTCCCTTCCTGATGAGCCCTGCAGACTCTGTTTTGTGGCATGTATCTATGCAAATAACTCTGTATAACAAGTGCTTATAAAGTGGTTTCCATTTTTAGAAATATGCATGCTGATTTAAATCCCAGTTAGATTTTTACCCCTGACAGCAATGACTTTGTTGGGCACATCACCATTCAATTCATAGGGCCTAGGCTAAATAAACACTTGATGAAAAGACATGTACACTTTGATTTAACCATGTCAGATTTCAAGAGTCCAAAACTCAATATCTGTTAATGCCAGTTTTGAAAGAAAAGAAAAGTACTGGTTGAAGACACCTAGAGATGGGCAGGACACAGCAGAATCCACCATGCACTACGACCACTTTAACTACTTGGTAAGAAACTTTGGGGTGCCTGCAATTTTACATCCTGAATTGAATTGACCTGAAGGCTTCCAGTGCTGAATGTGAAATGACTGCAGTAAAATTGCCTAATGAGAGAAGTATAAGGCTATGGGTTTTTTGTTACCTTGCTTTCGCCCTCTATAACAATGACAGGGACTGAGGTGGGAGGCCAGCGGTGCTTGGCAGGAAGAGGCTTGTCACAGTTCCACAGAATTATCACCTGCACAAATGGAAAACAGGTAAAGGGTAGTTATCAATGTGAACACATGACCATATTCATTTGCATACCTATGTATGCACACCCAATGAGAAATATGTTAAAATGTAAGTCTTTTTGGTGAATTTGCAAAATGCCAGAATAGTAGAATATTGGGTACTGTAAAGTAATGTCCAGTGAAACGATCCAGGGAAGATCGTCCTATATTCCCTACAGTGTGCATTAGTGTTATAATAGTATCTGTAGAGAGTGTAGTGTCGGGGTGAATCTGTTGTTGCAGCAAGGTTGGGAAATTATTTGGACAGCCTCCTTTCATCTCCAGCATGAATAAAATAATTAAGTTCAAAAGCAGTTTTAAGCCAACACCAGCACTTTACTGATTTGATAAACCTTAGAAATGACACTGACATAGCCAACAAAGCTGCTTTGCTTTCCGTTTAACATCTTAAAAACACTATATGGACTCTGTGTCTTCATTTGCTAAACATTTATAGTTCCATGAAACGTCTATTCACATCACGTCAGAACCAAATAGTAAATGTAGATCAGCTTAATCTGATGTGAGGTGAGTGAGTTGGGTTTTGAATTACCTGAGCACAGTACGGGGATTTGGCCACAGCTACAAGCAGCTTCATGACTGGCTGGGACTGGGAGACCAGTGGGGTCACCACGTGAATGATCGCTGTAAACTTCGGGTAGGGCTTAATACCTGAAAACAGCCAGGACACATCAAAGGTCAAAAAAAGAAGCAATTTAGATCTGTAAGGTAATATTTCAAGCACGAGAATGATCTCCCGAATTATGTTCAGGTGTGTGGAATTATCACTTGAACACGGAATTGCACCTTTTTGACAGCTTTCAGCATCTCTTAGTTTGTGCTTGTTTACATCCAGCTGTTTACTTGGCATCCAGTGTAACTGAAAGGGTCTAATTAGGCTTGTGAAGGAAAAGGAGCCAGTTAACCAAATCCCAATGTCAGTAACAAGCTGCATATCTGGCCAATTAACCAAGTACAAATACAACATGGCAACATGGCAAGTCTAATTGGTGAGCTTCTCTGTGACAAATCCTGAATTAATAAAGATATACTGCATAACTTTTAGCAATGTCACCGATTCTCGTGTTAGTTTAGGAGTATTCAACAGCTGTCACACACCAGCTGTTCCTGTGTTGTGGCATAAAATGAAAATCAGTCTATCAAACCTTAGGGTGTGCCAGTAACGTGGGTCTTAGCATATAGCAGCATGTGCATGAATAATTAACTGACCCAGCTTAGCGTAGTAGAAGGGGAATTCTCCCAGGTATGTAGAGTACTGAGGCAGGGTGAAAAGGCCTCCAGGCAGACTGTTCCACATGAGGTTACTCCTTGAAGTGTGCTGCAGTACCCGGTCCTGGATGATCTGCATAAATAGGAGGTGAAGAGATACAAATTCATGTTTTCTGTAAAAAAAGTCAATTGATTGAAACAGGTAAATAATAATTAAATGTCCATGACAGTCCATGGTCCTCTGTGACGCATAGAAAGAAAGCTCAGGCCCAGGCCAAGATACAGTATGATTTACAGTATACTTTGAGCGGTCTATAAATTAGCTTTGAGCCAAGATCTTCCATGCTCATTCACTTCAAATTAAGCCACTTCAATAATTATGCCAGTTTTATATACTGCTTGGAAAAAGATACTCTGGTGCCTCTAAAATTAACAACTGAAATAGCGAGTCACTTCAAATAAACAAAAAACCTGCAGGCTACAAATAAAGTGGTTTTGGTTGTGCTTTCAGTGTTCTGTTAACAACAAATTAATATCCTATTATTTAATTCTCCTTCCATTGTTTTCTTCTGTAGAGCTCATTTTAGTTCGTTATGTATATTTATTTACATTTGTCACTCCATTTAAATGAAATCGTATCACAAGTCACACCCCCTCAATATACGATATATTACGCATATACAATTCTAGTTTTCTTATTAGTTGGATTAAGGCTTCACAGACGACTACATTTAGAACACTACAACAAACTTAAGTGTTAACATCCATAAATACCCTCATTAGGAAAGAAACGGCTAAACATATATAATCCCAAAATATCTTTTCCTATTCTATCTATTCTATCCAACTATTTCCTTATAAAAATAAATGAATAGGGAAGTTGCAAGTTGTATCAGCTGAAAACAAGACTTTGGTAACAATAATGCAAATCAGCTTGCTTTAATTTCATTTTGACTTGACATAATGTGTTCATATAAAGAAAAAACAAATATTACTCGATTGAAATTGACAATTATGACTTAAATGCAATTACTCTGGCTTGGCTAAGTTGGTAGGCATGGTTTAATTGAATCACCCTTGGTCTGTCATCTGTGAGAATGGAGCAAAACTACCTGAAAACACAAGCAGCTATGAAGAAGTTCAGTCAGTTCCTTTGGCTTATATTTTACAGCCAAAAATGTCTTCACTTCATAAACCACTATATTCATTAGCATTTTACTTTTTACAATGGGTAATCAAAATGTTTACCATTCAAGTTATGCTGTTATGTTCAAGATACCCCTGAAACGGTATTAACATTTCAGTTAAAATAAAGTGGGCTGGCATCAGCTGTTCCATAACTCCCAAGTGTACTGTTTGTTTGGCCCAATATCACATACAATGTGTGAGCGAGCGTTATAGGCCCACAGCATCAACTGCTTCTCACTACACCCCAGCTTTGAGAAGAATCTTACAGAGTGAGAGGATACCTTAATAAAACATTAAGCATTCTCTGAGCTCTGGGGTAGCTACAGAGCAAAGTAAACACTGCTGACTTCTTGCAGGATATTGTTTACAGTAAAAATAATTTTACACTAATATAAGCCAAAACACTTACTGGTCTTGTACTATGGCATGTGTTGAAACAGAGTTAAGATAGTGACATTGTAAACAGATGGAAGATCAGCTTCTTGGGGATGTAACTTTACCCTGCTGACAGAGAAATCCCAGCTCTGCTTTCCAGTGCCCTGACTTCCTACCTCAAGGGACTAGGCCTCTGTAACCCTATCTGAGGACAGCAACTAATGGTGTAAACTGCAGTCAGCAATAAGGCTTGCATGTAACACAACTGAAGGTCAGCAGTACTTTTCATATTTGTTGCTTTATAATGAAATATCAAGATTTAAACATTCATCAAACAAAATAAACATCAGCTACAAGCAAATCATTGATACATTTATCTTCTCTATCTGTCACTACCACCCATTATTTAGCTCCATTGCATTCAGACTTGGAATGCAGTGAAAAATCCTGCCTTACACATTCTGCTTATCGTCTTGCTCCCTTATCCGTTTTCATTCCTCCTCGTCTTTGCTTGTTAGTAATTTTAGCTCCAGAGCAGTATGCTAGCCTGCTACTCACCAGGAAGAATATAGATTAATGGACTCTGACAGGAACAAACTACTGACATGATTGAGAGTCAAGCCAAGCCTCAAAAACATGACAGCAGATTTTAACAATATAGATCATCCCTCTTGGTTTAATCTAGTGTGGAGTAGTTACTGTAGGTATTATGTCTACAACTACACACTGTGGACTTGTAAGCCTGTCAGTACTTATGACAGGCTTACTAGTTAATAACTAGTATGAACAGAATTAAGTGACTTACAAAATCTGTAAGAAAGTACAACAGTTTACAGTAGTTTTAAAAATTGCAATGAGATTTATTAGATTAAGATTAATTAAATATTACATAGCCCTTACCCCTTATATAGATATTTTCAACTGCAACTATATTGTACGTATGAAGATGAACGTGTGTGTACCTCCAGTGTGGTCAGTACGATCTTCTCCACAGAGTTGAAGTAAGCCTCCCATAGGAACTGCGTCTGCTGTCTCAAGGACAGGATCTTATCCTGATGGATGGAGCGCACCGTTGAGGGGATCTGAGGCAGAAGTGAACACATGTTAGCATATTTAAATGAGCACCTGCAGTCTACACTGGATACTATAATTTAATCCTTAAGTGACAGCACACTGCACGTGAACAACTGTGAGAACTGCCTATAATAAATCCACTGAGTGAGTCTCAGCTGTCATATAAAGTAAATCTGATACAGCTGGACTGGATGTTTAGAAGACATTGGACACTATGTAGAAATAATAAATGATGTCCTTAAACACCATGTAGCAATGTTGATTACAAGAGGCAAACACACTCTTTAATGACTCCACACATATTGGGTGACAAACATGCAGACTGGAATAGGACGCAAAGAACACGCGCACACTGCAGATGCATTGCCAACCCTTTATAAAGATCAGGCCTGATGAAAACCTTCTGTGGTCAAAAAAAACATATGCAGTCATTCTAATAAAGGAACTGGCAATGTGACAGTAGTGTGGAGATCAACTTTTCTTTTTACTTATAGTGTTGACAAAACTAAACCCAGCTTCAGACTCGTATGAAGTTTATACCTGTAATAGCAGCCTTTCATCACCAATCACAGCTGCTGTGTTCCAGTCGATGATCTCTGAGAAGGGAAGCTCCCAGCCATTACTCAGCATCACTGGCACACAAGCTGCCTATAAGAGTAATACATAAAAACACACACACAAAAAACTGTTGATTAATGAGATGAATGTGTTAAGTTTGTATATCCACAGGCAATAAAATAGAGACAGACTGGAAACAAGAGAGAAATGAAAAAAAATTACTAAATGGCTTATGCTCTGCAAACCAAAGCCATTACTATACAAGGTCCATTTCCCAAGCAATAAAAGCAGGCACTTCAACCAATAGGGGCAACTCATCCTCCAACACATTTCCATTAAGTACAGAACTACTGCAGCACCTTGATGAGTAACTCTCAAAGTGACTAGGTAGTGCAGCTCCATAAAACTGAGCATTCAAAACATACTTGAACATTAAACCACTGTGTCTGAGAGATTAATGAAAGTATGTATCCATGTTTGTGTGTGTGTGTGTATGAACCAGTGTGTGCATGTTTGTGCTGAAAGTTCAATGTGTTTGTTTAGAAGAGTTGGATAGCACATGCAGCGTCCTGCCGGAGCGACCGGCTCTATAGTCTGTTAAACGGGGGACCATTCACTGATTGGCTTTGGTCACTACACATGCACACGCACGTCCAGGCAGAAGGCCCCCCCCCTGCATCAAAGTGCTGCAGTGCTCGTCTAATCTCCTCAGTGTCATTAGCAAAGGCAGCAATCTGCTGAAATGCTCCCATGCTTTCCCTACCTATCTGCTCTCACAGAGCAATCAACTAGAGACTCCTGTAGCTCAATCCTCTCCCAACTCATCACATTACAACAACCATTCATTAATGAAACTCACTCCTATTAACTCCCTACATTTTGCAAACACACGTGTAAGAAAGAACCTCAATGTGACTCTAGCCTGCTGCTTGTCATGACACCTGCATTTCACAAACTGATCCTGCCAACATCCCTTCCTGACCAACCCAGCTCTAGTCTAATCATCTGAACAGCTCCAGTCCTCACTACTGCCCTGCTTCCTGTCTGGCCTGTTAAGAATACTCACTTGAGTCAATGTAACTGATACAGCACGCTAGCCTGCCTTGACCTCAACTTCCCAAAATTCTCAAGTGTCTGCCTGCCCTCCTCAATTTCTGCGCTCCTGCATAAGGCTCCGAATGGAAAGACGGCGCACTAATACCTTCAGTGTATGGCCGTGTTCCAGCCATACACTCCAGCCAACCTCTGAAAGCTACCTCAACTGCAGCTGCACTGCTTTCTCTTCTTGTGTTGGCCTGGTCATCAGTCCACTGTCTCACCTCGCCTCACTCCTGGCTCCCCAGTGGTGCAATTATCTTCCCATTCCAGTCAATAAAAAGAGTCACTGTAAACTCAAGTCATCATTTCTATTCTACTTGCTCAAAAAACCATAGCCATTTCTCTACTGATTTCCCCCGTAAGTGCTTACAGTACTTGACACAAATATAAGGGATGTTAATAATATATGGTAACAATGTTAGTGAGAAAACTAACACCATGAAGGAATTCATTTGCTTTTGATTTTTATATATATTTTTTATGAATATTGACTTTTTGCTACTGCACTAATTGTAGTGTAGGTCACTGGAGGAGAAAAACAGCAGATCTAAAAATCTAATTTTACACAGAGGAAAATTCTTCTTCTATATATATATTTATTAAAATACTAGAATAATTTACAGTATGGACATATTCTCATACTAGTACCCAGTGTGTGTGAAAGGAAGAAGGCACTTGCAAGGCCTTTCATGAAGACAGGATGTCAAATTCAACACACCAGTGATTTATGCTCACATACCGGTTCTCTTCACTGGAAGCACATTACACACACATTACAGCACTACAGTCACTAGCAGCCCCACTCAGCCTGATGTGTTGGCAATAAACATGATCAAAACTAACGAATACAAACTCATAGTTTAATTTGTTAAAGGGCGAAATGAATATAAATTCAACATGTATTCAGATCCTTCACGACCACACTAATTATAACCCGTAATTATCCAAGAGAATCCTAAATTACTGTTTTATCATCATCTGGATAATACAATTACATTAGCCTGCAGTGAGATTAACTGGCTAATAAAGCAACCTTTGTTATTTTAAAGAATGATTATATTTGAAAGGTTGTTATGCCCCTAACGGATGGGAAACACTGCCCGTGAACGTCTTCCTTTTTATTTTGGTGTTCATGTTAACAGTTTAGAGCAGCCACACTGCCCACATGAGCCGCACGGCTCAGGCACGGCTACAGTAACACTTGAACACTTGACTTGAAAATGATTTGTTCATACCAACATTACAGCAGCAACATATACACTATTTCACTACAGTTCCAATGTCTGTGTCTGTAGAATATATCAAGGACATAAAAAATATAAATATACATTTTTTTTAACTCCACAACACAACACAACAACTGTGTAATTTTTCAGATTAAATGCTCTTTAGTGTTTATGTGGATGGAACCCATTCGTTTGTTAACAAGGCTTTTATTGTGTTGTATTTATCAAAGGCAAACTCAATGTAAAAAGAGGGGGCTGGCAGCAGCAGAAACGCTCTATGTGGACACCACAGGCATGCAAGTTGAAGCAGTTCAGTGAGGTAAGCTGTCAAGCACTGTGCAGGCAGTGTGTACCGTCTGTAAAATGCCTCGACCTTGCCTAACAATCAAAGAAGATTCAACATCTTAAGTGAGTAGGCAGGTAAAGTGGGTTCAGTACTATTGGGAATTATGGACACACATTGAAGAATATACCAGTTAAAAGAGTAAGTGCAATGTAAGAGGAGAGGATGACTCGCGGAGGTGGGTGAAGAAACTCAAAGAAAGAACTGAAAGGAAGAGAACAACGAGAGAAAAATGATGGCAGGGAGAGCAATGAATACACTGAGTCAGAGGCAGCTGTATCAACACTGTCTGCACAACAACAAAATGACTGGCAGTGGGTGAGAGAGCTACTGGGAGTAACTCAGTACACTCAGACATCATTATTTCCATTCTCAACCACTGATTAATGACTTTGTTTGGTCACCATAGCTTTAGTGCTGACGCACTACAAGACTTCAAGTTCAACGTGTTTGGTCATGATATGTTCAACTGCCAACCTTAGTAGACAAAATATACCATATCAATCTAGGCACTTTAGACAACTGAAGCACTTTTAGCACAAGATCTATGTGGGTCTCCCTTTGATTGGGGTTTAACTGAGGCCAAATCTAGCAGTAATTGCTTAAAAATATTTGGGACACAGAATCAGTTCAGAGGTGGTGCAAAGGTTGGTTACAGTTAGAGTTGCACCTACTGTAATTCTTAGAATAGCTCCTTCTTTCTTACTGAACAAGAGGAAAGATGGGAGAGAGACTTAATATGTACTAAAACCTAAAAGGCACCACAGGGCAGCTATTGTAACAGATTCCAATTTACTAACAGCTACGCCTAGCAATAATGAGAAACATCTGTAGGTAAGTCACTGACCTGCAAAGCTTCTAAAAAGCGAAAGGAACCCAGCCGTCGTCCTCGAGGTACCAGACAGAAGGTGGAGTTGTACAGCATCTCTCTGTAGTCATACCTGTAGAAGAGAGGACATCGCAAACTCATTCATTTATTATATTCAATAACATAATTGGTACTCACACATTCAGGATACGAACAGAAGATAACAGAGAATGTGCACAGTCACACCAGCACACTGACATTCATCAGTGTACTTGTTTATGTGGTTTTACCTTACAAAGACTTACTGCTACAATGACACCTTTATATAAAACTCAAATGTTAGGAACACAGTAACTACCAGGCCTAAGTTTCCTTAAACAGTCAGAGCAGCATAGACGACAGAACAGAAAAGTATCCTCTTTTTAACAATGGAATACCTGGAAAGTACTTTCAGGGAAAATCCCATGCTTTGATCTCGACTCCTCTCTCTTACCTTCTCCCAACCCATCTTTGAACTCCTTGCCCTCTCACCTGCACATCTCAACATCTCTCCTTTTTTCCTCACTCCCTCCATCCAATCTAAGCCTCAGTCAGCACTTGCTTGGATTAAGGAGCTGCTTGGAATTCCTTTAGTGTCAATATAATACGTGTGCCTGTGAGAATGAGTGAAAGAGTGTGCATTTGTGTGTTACTTGGTTGTCGTGCACTGGACTGGGTTTCATTAGACAGGACTGAAAGTGCGGACATTTTATTTCTCAGTGTGTTATTGTAAACAAGCCTTCATGCAAATTTATGCTTGTAACAAAACAACAACTTTTGACCACATTTGCATGAGAATGCAAATATGAATGTTAAGGTGAGTGAACATTTGTGTACGCATATTGTCTGTTCATGGGGCTATTTTCTTTTCCTCTTCTTTACTGTAAATGTGTATGTGTATGCAGATTAATGCCTTAGGTATGCCTTGCCTGATGCCTGAACTGATCCACTTTAACTCTATGGGTCACCGCACAGCCAAGACACACGTCAGCTTTATATCATGTACAAGGGATAACAGCAGTGCACAGCCACATAGAGGTTTATATAAAATAATATGATTATAATATAAAGTATGACATATTTCCTTGCTATGCTTCATGGGCAGAAATCTGAAACACATTGTAAGGCAAGTAAAATGTATCCCAAAAGGTGTCTGACCAGTATATACTGTTATTCTTTTAAATCTTCCATGTCATTAATGGAGAAATAAAGATGAAGTTCATAGTGCAGACACTCAAGGTAGCCAATTGAGTTTATGCTATAGAGCAATACTCAGTGTATTAAAGACATAAGGCACAGTTGATTCCCACATCATTATTTCTCAGCTATCTTAAAAACTACAATACGTCATTGCTGAAATGGATGCATGCACTACAGAGCTGTACTGCATAATTTCATGTTCCTTATAAAGCTGCTGGTTTTGTTTCTTGCTAATGAGTGTTTATGAATGTATCTGTTACGAAGTGGTTCCATCTATACTTCCTTTCATTAAGCAAAGACCACAGAATGCCAGGACAGTCAAGCTCTCATTAGCTTTAACATTATGACGCAAATGTTGAATCAAATAGCTTATAGGTCCTGGTCTTTTTGGAGCGATTCTACTAAGCACCAACAATACTGTCACAAATGAGTGCAAAGTTAAATAGCAAGTGCAGTTTTGACTCAACTGATTGTGATTATATAATATCTATCTGGATAATCCCACTTTAGAATACACATAGCATTTACAATTAACAACCACTAAACATAGTTTTGAGAAGATCAACAAAAAGCATAAAAGCTACAGTTAAGAGGCTACAGTTAAGCTTAGTGCCATCTATAGCACTACATAATAATGTACTCAGAAATACACCATCAATGTAGCTCATACTAGGGGCTATAGTAAATAATACCACAGACTAGGTTGAATCACAGATGCTGTTCTGATCTGTGCATCCATTATGAATCAACAACCTGATTCATCAGTCTGACGCCATCACAGATAATGCTAAGATAAGCCATCATTAGGTACAGCAAACAAATAATGCAGCCAGAGGCACGTAATAAGTGACCATTTTGCAAGCCTATAAAAACAGAAGTATAGTTCCATATTTATGGGCCTGGCTGGGTGTAAATCACCCCTCTATCACATTTCCTGTGAGTGCAAAATCAGAAAAGACCAGATGTTACTCTCCCTGCATACCTCCATTCTTCTCTGCTCTTCCAGATGGCGGCTCGTGGGGAGGAGCAGTCTCACAGTATGCTACCGCATGTCAGTGGAGACGTTAAGGACGAGCGTTCAAAAATATCTTCTTCATAATAAATAATAAACTCCTGTCTTGGTATGCATTTTTCTGTTTTATTTTTTCCCAAACTGTCAGTTAGGAGTTTGTCATACCCTTCATCACATGGCAATGTCAGCAATTAACTCTACACGATATGAGGCAAATCCTGCCTCAGCCCATATTTTCAGTGCTCCAACATGCAAATGGCTGCTGGTGAGCAGAGCACTTTGTCAATAATCCCACCATTAAAGTAATGAGCTTGAGTCTGTCTTTTTTGCCACCTCCCTATCATGACATCATGAAAAATACTGGACTAAATACTGGAATAATGCTATTAAAAACTACAAGAAGAGTAACAACCATGTAACAAGCAACAAAACAAAAAGTGATGGATCTCAAACAGATGTTACAGATGTGGTTATTGCTGTTTTGGAACCTTTTTGATGCAAAACAATGAATCCTACAGCACAAAACCTCCGCCTGAGAGAATGCATATGGTGGACACAAACACGCTAACTGAGGATTTAACCTCAACCAACTGTTCAATCAGAGCGGCTGCACTGTTGACATTTCCTGACCATCCAGTTGCTCTTGGTGAGATACTACCATCTTTTAGAAATGGTCTTTTATATGAAAGTTCTTTTATGTGTTTGTGAGTGAGTGAGGGAGAAAGAGACATGGAGACAGGTAAGAACTTTGAAGTCTTCTGTGTGTTTTAGAGGGGTAATGGTTTTGAAGAGTTTCAGTACCAGTGCTATAGGAAAGTAATTCTCATACACTGTGTTGACTGGGGTGGAAACACTGACTGAAAGTAGTGGCTAAAATGTAGGGGGAAAAGTTTAGAAAAAAACATAATATATCAACATAACAAAAGCATATTCCAAAGATTGTTATCAATTGTTGCTGCTCACAGACAAGTCCTGAATATCTCTATAGCAAGAAAGACTAACTTTAGCTATAGTAGGGCCAGAGCACTGCCAGTTGGAAAAAGATCAAACAGGAAGATACATATTGGACATTTGAAGTCTATTAGCCAAGTCCATTAGAGGGCTAAGCACTTACTCGTACAACTGTAGTTACTTACACTCAAGTAATATCTATTTTTCTGGTCAACTGACATGGGGGATAGTACACAGTGACTGAATTGTTATGTGGACATAAACAATCCCTTCCATCTACCGGAGGAGAGCAATAACGAAGCAGTTTATTCCTGGTACACATATCGTTCTTCCAGGTCTGTCGTTGGGAAAAACAGAAAAGGACCCCGCAGCGAAATAGTAAAGCATCACCTTTCATTGTAATGCTGTGGGAGATCTGTTATGCTATGTTTATAAACACATTTACTCATCAATATAATGAAATGTAATTTATCAATGCTGAAGGAAAGTAGTACAGTGTGATTCACCCAAATAGGAAAGAATAACAGGAAGTGAGCTGGGTCAAGAAAAAAAGATCAAGCAGTCTCCTAGCAACAAGAATGGATGGTGTGAAAAAGAAATGCATGGCTCACTCTGTCAAGTGCCTGAGGAGACTCAGAAGAACAGCCAAAGTGTTTGTCTCCCATAATCTGTGTATGAGACCACACACATTTACAACATAACTCATAGAAAGGACCGCAATCAAAGGGGGCATTGCTTCAGCGGCTCTATGACAAGTCAACGTGCTCATGTGGGTTCCCCCAAATAGTCTTCTGTGCTGGGACAGCGAGTCCTCCAGGGACTATGGATTCATCATCTTTCATTTATCCAATGTTTAGTTTTTTCATCCACTACAAACCATGTCACAGAAACCGATTATTGGATTTCTATGAATCACAAGGAAAAAGTGCATCTATTCGCTATGTCAGTCTTTTCAGAATGATACAAGCGCAGATGCTACAGGACAAGATATGGTGGTATTTTTGTTGCTGGCTCATAGAGGGACTACTACATTCATGGGAAACAACATGATTTCTATAGTCCAGAGTTTGAAACCCTCATCCTTTCATACGCTTTTTAAAGGAATGATTATATATTCAAAATGCCATTTTCTTTGTCTTTTTGTCAATTTTACAGATAAACCACCAGAAAAGGAATTATATCGAGAATCCACAACATCCCAGAAATCCCTACGATGAAACTCAGAGGGGAAGATGGGGGATGCTCTAGTACTACCCCACTCTATCACCCCTCTCCCATTCCGCTCTGACTTCATATCTCATTTTCTGCTTCCTCTTTTCTGTCACAGTTGAGCCAAGTTGATGGGCAGTTGGCTGTTTCCAGGACTGCATTCAAGCCAGAGGAATGTCAGCCTAAAAGGCACCGAGTGAGAGTGAGTGTCGTTGGATGAAAAAGAGAAAGAGGAAAAAAAACTGCAGTTGACAACCGCATGCTGTATCCAAGCCCCACACAGCCAGAGCCACCCATGGCAAGAATGTCACACACACACACACACACAACGCAAACACACACGCAAAGCCTCATTTTGATCTCAGCACACATCAGAGCGACTTCAATGTTTCAAGACAGTGCCAGACCCTCGTAGAGCCAGCTGCTTTGTTTCCTATGACAAGGCTGCACACCAAGAGGTAGACACGTAGAACACACCGTGACAGACCCAAAGAGGAAAAACTATGATGCTTTACTTATGCACACACAAAAACACTGACTTCAAATACACTCCGTTTTTGGAGGACTTGCATCAGCCCGCATATGTAAACACGCACACACTGATTTCAGGCATGAAAGCAATCATTACTTGACTGGTTCTCCACAAGACGATCAAACGGCTGCTTGTAATGTTGGGTTAATGAGCACCCCCTCATACTCATGTTACATGGGGTTAATTAGCC